ACAAACTCACAAGAGCCTGATTAACAATATCCAACCCCCATGGACAATGGCCACATCACTCTTCAGCTTGCCCTGCCTAACCCAGTGTGCCGTTTCTTCCCGAGCTCAGGGCCACAGCTCAGTGTGATCCGTGACGACAAATCCCAGAATCTTGACCCGCGTCGAAATCACTTTGTAGTAGTTTGTCAGGTTCAAATGCTTGTCTCCGCGATTGTGCTGCGTGATCATGCCGCATTCGACGAAACGAGCCCCTGGTTCAGCCTGCCCAAGACACATGTCCAGGATTTCGGCTCTCCGACTTGTGTCATTCCCACCCACACCGTCACGCCCGTCAAGCCGTACATGGACAAGAGCTCGTGTGTCTCGCTGACTCTGGGCAGGGTTGAAGCTGGCTCAAACAATCCCTCGGGTACAATGGCATATTCAGCCCAGCCACTTATCCGGTTGCGATTAGTCTCGTTTTTTCAGTTTAGTAGTATTCAGACAAGTCGGTGTGCTTTCTTGGACTTGAAGCCGGCCGATTTGGAAGATCGAGACAAATAGGCGAGCTACCTGTCGTTATCACCGCGGCTTTTCTCCCAGCACACACCGCTTGGTGCCCCTGGACGTAGGCCAACAACTTTTGCCATGCCCTTAGGCCATCTGGTTTTTTCTAAAGTGATATCTTTCACAATGATGCCATTTATTTTGGTATAATGCATGCCACTCAATGCCTCTGTATAGCATCTCGCTCAAGTGAAGTGATCAAATGTTCATGCTGACCACACCTCAAATTCGGGTCGTAACTCATTGTATTTCGTATACCTATTGCTGTAGTCCCCATTATACCACAAAATTCACTTCAAAACAAATTTTATGCCATGCTAATTCTATATATGACTCTTTTATCCAAAAGAATACCATATGCTAACCAAAATGGCGGCTCCGAGGTTCTTCTGGCTATTCTACTGATGCACCCAAAACTTGTATGAGAATACAATCGTCTAGGTATGATTGTACGGCTTATCACTTCGTACAATGTATACTTGCCCAGTCAGAACTGCGCAGCCCACAATCATGGCGATTGCAATAATTGGGAGATTGACGCGGGCGAATTCGAGTCTCTGAACGTGAATATGCTTGCGAGACAAGATATCCCTCCAAAGAAGCCCCGCGAGAGATGCGCTGAATGCAGTGCTAAATGCGCCGTAATTTACTCCAATTGCCATGCTGTACACGGTGGCCCAAAATGTGCGATCACTGATGTCGGTCTGATTTACAATATTGATCTTCTGCCACGCTTGAATGACTCGGGACAACAAGATGGTCGTACCAATGTTCGTGCCAGCAAACTACGCAAAGTTAGTATCAGGTTAACAACAGGGACACGAAGAGAATGCGGCAAAACGTACGTTGCATAGCACTACAGACAGGAAACCCATACCACCAATAGCACCAACAGTTCCCGTCTTCTTCACCCAGTGATCCCAACCGTGTGCAAAAACAGGAATCCAGCCTTTGGTGACCAGTGCTTGGACAAGCACAAACATTGAGAATGCGAAAGGGACCAGAGCAAATGGCAAATGTAGTATGACAGCCGCTGCCGTAGGGAATGTTTCCTGGCACCATCTAAGCCCATTTTTCGAAAGTGAAGTCAGTGTAGCAGGGCCACTTTCTTTTGTAAAAGGCAGATCTCGTGAATCTCGTCCTTCTTCACCAACTTCCCCGCTGGATGACGAGACGAACAAGTTAGGGGTCGGGGATACAGATGTCGTGTGGTCGAGGTTAGTGTTTTGGAATTTTGCAGTCTTTTCGCCATTTGAAATGTGTTTATCTGTAGCATTCTCAGCTGCTGAGACTGGCTGTGAAGTAATGGATTCGGATTCGGAACTGGTAGCAATCGCTGTCCCATCAGTATTTTGGGACACAAGGATTGCAGGAGGTGAAGGTAACATCGGCTTTCCACCCATTGTACCAGCTGCATTTCCAGATTTGGAAAGAGACTCTTTAAGCTCATAAGTATGTGCGTTCTCAGTAGCTGCGTTCGTCTCCGAGAACCTCGCTTGGTCTCTTTCTCGCAGAGCCCGCTCTTCTCGTGCAGTCTCAAGTTCCAGCCGGCCCCTGCGAGCGATTTGTCTGGTTTCGACACGATGAAACCAACCAAAACCAATGTCCCAGCAAAACATTACGAATGCTGCTGGCAGTGTTACCCAGAAAACAGGATGAGCTTCGGTGCCGGTGCTAACAGCATTGATAACCAGGACAGTGATGAGTGTTGCGGCCATAATGACAGCGCCAAAGGCCGCGCCGCCCTTGTCCAAGAATGGGTTCATAATTTCCTCCAATGATAAGGCTTTGGTCTGTTCGTCATTGGACGTACTGTTCTCATCCTCTTCCATTGGTCCACGTGCGTGTGGAATGTTGGGGTTGACGGGTTTCTTGGTTCTAGCCTCTGGCGGCAGTTCGTGCATTTCGATGGAATATGGGATCAAAGCCTCGTTTGCGAAGACAATGTACAGAAGGAAGGGGAAGAGCACAACAGCAGTCACTACCACTGGAACAATCATATTCGCTGTGTAGTTGATAAACCTGATTTGAAAGGCTCCGGCAAGGACCAGGTTTGTGGGGTTGGAAGAGACGAGAATTGCTGAAGCAATATTTGCAACAGCAAACTGGGTGTGAATCCAAGCCCGAGGATGGACAATGTTGCTAGAAACTCTTGTCATGTAGGCGAGGAAGGCTGTGCCAGAGAGAACAATCGGGTCATTGCCGATGAAGCTGCCGATAAGAAAGAAGAAGGAGTAGAGGAAGAAGAAGAGTCGATGCCCAACTTTGCCTCCCCATTGCAGGACCTTAAAAGCCAGATAACGAATTAAACCCGACGCGTCGATAGAAATAGCGATGTATGCCAAGGTGATAAAGAAGGCCATAATATCAATGGGCGAGATATTATCGGCTCCCAGGGTCCCGTCATGCACCTCTTTGCGCCCAATGGCCAGAATAGCGAGCAGGAAAAGGTCTGCTATCAACGGCGCGGTGACAAAATTCATGGGAAAATTGAGCCGTACATAAGGCTTGACCTTTCCATTGTCGTTGTCGTCGTCTGCGTCATGTGGAAAAGTAGCGTTCCTCGGTGGTATGATCCTGACATAGCTCAAAGCATCTACCAGCGCATTCCAGGCCATTCTTGGCACTAAAATCGGTATGTGAAATGGAAACAACACATTGATATCTAGAAAGAGTTGAGTCAGGTCTATGCAAGACGAGGTTTCGTGCAACACGCATTTAGTATCATGACATTTACATACTGGTGAGAATAAAGACGATTAGTGTCGTGATGGATCGCCAGTTGCGGATCTGGTCCGTGTTTAGTGAAACGTCGTCGTCCATGCCTTCCATGTCTTGCGGAGTAGGAAAAAAAGGAAGCGGAAGTAGGTCAAGTCCTCGCATGGTGGAAGATATTCTATATGAATCTACCAGCGTATTGGTTTCTCGCTTCACACGCTCGATTTCCGTCTTTCGGCGAAATCTGGGATAATAGCGCTTGCCGTTGCAAAGCGAAGCAGTACGAGGAAATGCGAAAAATGGAGAAATTGAAAAAATAGAAAGCGCAAGAAACAGTATCGCTCCTGTGTAAGGCAAGTCAGTTAGTCGTAGCCCCTTGTGCTGGCAAGTTATAATGGAATCATTTGCGTTTTCGCGACTCGGCAACAGCCTCTCCATACCTACTTAAGTATGTTGCAAGCAGATTGAGGTAGGGCAGCATAGAGGCCGACATGACCCGGTACGCTGCAGTTTGGAAAACTCACAAATTTGAGCGGTGAGAGTGAAGACCAAGAATACGTGCAAACGTACTGCAAGCAGGCACAGGTCAATGGCCAGTCATTGGAGGACGATGCACTCTTCAATGCTGTTCTTGAGGCCGAGCCGAAGCGCCCAGAGCATCGAATGTATTTAAACCGAACACTGGCTGGGGTCAGGCCTAGCATGCATAGAAAGCAGAGAGCTAAACAGCAAGACAAAAACGGCCACCATTGCCGCTGTTGCGTTCCTGTTCTTGGGTCGCTGAGACCTCTTCAAACAGGCAAGACACAGACAGTGGCAGTTGTGCGGTTTGAATTCAATATTTCCAAGGGTCGAGATCGAGGTTGGTAGCCCCGAAAATATAGAACAAAGAGACTCGTGACGTGGTTGGCAGAAGGAAGGTACAGTGGGTGTACGGGCGAATGGCACTTGCCTTTCCTCCCTTGCAATGAGCAAGGAGCAATGAGTACAGAGCGCCACCACTCTGGGGAACTGGGCAGCGTTAAGTCCAGTCTGGTTTGCATTCTGTTTCAGCTGATCCAGATGTGAATATTTTTATCACCGCCAGTGTTGGACAAAACATGGGAACGTCACTGCTGGCAGAAGTGACCACCTTCGTTTATTGAGTCCACCAGCATTGACCATTTTCTCACGATTTTTTTTCCTATGCTGCTGCTCTGTTCGCCAAACCCCGCCCTAATTCGACCGTTATTCTGCTGCCTGGCCTATGGTGTCACGAGCTTCAACGGGATGGCTGTGTTCAAATGTTTACCTCAGACCGTTGCCATCAGTGCCCATCACCCGGCGGCTACGATTCGTCAGTTTTGCTCGATTGCAGGTCACGTCAGCAGCCACACGATGCTCGTTGGCTGTGGTGGATTCTTTGTCCTACAGTGAGAAATGACAACTGAAGCCTTTTGGTGGCCAACGGAGATGGTCAGCCTCATCAATCGCATGCCAAAAAAAAAAGGGCAAGGACAACTGATTTGTACTCCTAAAGATGACACAGGATTCGAACTGGCTAGCGGATTTCTGGCTTTGGTGGACTAATCCTCGTGAACTGTCTTCCTTAAAGCAATCGTGCGCCTTCCTGACACGGCCACCACCAGCGGTTAGTTTTCATGCAGGCACTTATTCCATTTTATCGCTCCGTACCTACGGCGTACGTTGTCTCATTTTAAGACCCAGCCTCCGACTTTTGTAAGGCGTAGGTGCTCATGCCCGCTGTGTCTTCCGCCCAACTCATGAGCCGAATTGTCAGCGACGCTTTGGCGACATCAAACTATCTCTTTGCAAGAAGCGATTCGAATTCAGCTGAGCCTGGAATAGAGGTTGTCTGTGCCTGGCCTGTATCTGGCCAATATGGGCCAGGCTCTCGAATCTTGTAAGTGACTTCTCCATATGGCATTGCCCAGGCACTTCCCGTCTCGGCCATGAATTATCGGTCCTGGGGTTTTAACCTTATTTGACAGATACTATGTTCTCATAGCCGCATGTGTCCTTGCGCGCAAGTCAGAATGGATCAAAAACGCCTGTATTGCAGCGGCTTTGCTGTTGCCAGCGGTGGCTGCCCTTCATGGCGTTGCACTAGCAGCATTCCACCGAGACGGTATGTGCGCGTCTCTTGATGTGTGCGTGTGTGTCCAAAATGGTCTCTACTGGCCGTCTTGATGATAGAAAACACATATAGCTGACGGTCAAGTGTTTACAAGGTGCTGTTGATATGGACATCTATGGTGCTTTCCAACTTTGTGCCATTGGCATCTTGGCAGCCCCCGTTACCGTCAGGTTGTCAAGGACGTATTTCTATGACCCTGGTCGAAATACCATCTTTTTATGGGCAGGACTCATTCTATCAGGCAAGTTTTGTCGACGTTAACTCCTAGTCCACATGCTGGGATCATCTCCAGAATTTATCGTGTGAGCTAATGAGATCTCCCCTAATCTAGGATTGCTAAGCTTGACCGTCGAGTTTTACAGAGCTAGGTCTATTACCTGCTCTGGGGTATACAATGGAATTCCCATCCCAGCAAGCGCCGAAGACTTTCCCTATGATAAACAGCCTCAATGTGGAATGAATTGTACCGACACGACTGGACCGCAATCGCCAATGCGGGGGGGTGCGGCAAACAACAAATATGTGATCCCAGCCCCGGACAAGCTTACATTTGGCACCGCAACACTCCTAAGTGCAGCATGCTGTGTTCACGCTATTCTGTGGTTGGCATCCATGATGGATAAGATATTGGAGATTAATTTCAAGTCGAGATTCGGATTCGGACCCAATACCGATTTGCGCCTCGATGAGCCCATTCAGGGCACCAATGGAGCCACTGTGGGCAAGATGAAAAGAGTTAATGAGACTATTCGAATTTTCATAAGCGTGGCAATAGTCCCTATTTTTGCAGGCGCTGGACTAGCGATTCTGATTATTGGAGAAACAAACTTTTTCAGCCGTCAAGTGAGGTATGAGAATGAACCAATGGCAAGCATTGGTAAGAATCAAACCTCCTTCACTTCTCTCAAGGATCTCCGTACCCTGCAATAGATAACACCAACTAACTATTTTCCACATCTTAACAGGTCAATGGGGGCCAATTGTTGGTACAGGGCTTGCCATTGCCGGCTCGTTATATCTCCTCTTGGCAGCAGATCTGGAAGAAGTCGGGAATGGCAATCATTCTGTGGTGGAGAAGTGCCAGTGTAAATGTTCCCATCACCCGTTACCAGAATTCGGGATTCTTAGACCAACAAGCCAAGTTCCAAGTAGCAGAGACTCTGAAGGCATGCGCAGGGCTGTGGATCTTTCACCACCGCCACCCGTAATAGAATCTTTCTCGGGAATACACCATCCTTCGTCAACAACGTCCAGCTCTCTTCACGAGATGGACACACGGGAAGGAGCACCTTCAAAACGATACAGCTTTGCAACGATAAAGCATGCCGTTACTGGACAAACAACCACCGCTTCAACCACTGGGACTATGGAAGCAGGGAGTCGCCATAGGGTAGCAGAGTTTTTGACTTCTGTTGGTCAAACACTAGGCACAGCAACACAAGGCTCATTTGACCTTTCAAAGTTCAGAGACGGCCCAGCTCTCGACTTTCCAGAAATCCCAGGAGAAAGGGAAAGAAATCGCGATCTAAGCCGAGTAAAAGAAATCTACAGCCAACGACTACAGCCTGATGGCACTCCTGCGGTTTACGCATCTCGCTCAAGAGCAAGCAGCTTCAATGCAGATGGACCGTCTGGCCACGCGCTTGATGGCCTGCGTACGTCCCGCGATGAATCGCCACTACCACATCTGTCGCGATCGGCCTCACCAGTAGCCTCTGGACCTGGAGCTTTCCGACAGCGTGTAAGCACTCTACCAGTTAGCGAGCCCAGCTCACATGAGCTGCATGCTGTCGCTTCTTTACCAACTGCGTCCGGTGGAAACAGAGGCAGACAGAGGGCACGTAGAGACACTCTGGAAGTGCCCGCTCCAGTGCATTTTAACCCCCATCGACACACCTCGCTTACGGGAGAGGAAACGATAATGGGAACATCTTCTTCCTCCCCTCATCATCCGTTACCCCTATGCAATACATCCGCTATCGCGAGCGGTGCATTATGCCCAGAGTCGGGCACGAGAACACCAGATGCCGCAACACCAACCTCATCAGCACCCCTGAACAAACATGATTCTTCATAAAATACGACATGACGCCATGTACCACGAGCTGTACTGATATCTATATTATTATCCGAGAAACATGATATGATGAATCTCGCACTTGTTTAGCCTAGAGAGCACGTATCAGAACCGAACTTGCGTAATGCTGCTGGGGCAGCGATTTGCAACAGGTTGTGATTTGTCCCAACACCATCTTTTCCTTACTTTTTCAACCTTTTGGGGTGATTATAAGGCCGAAAATTTCGAAACGCGATGCGGCCGTATGCCTGTAGCACCAGACTACATCAATCAATCCGTCTCATCCGTCTCCCTTTTATGCACGGTAAGCGTGTCAGTTGGATTGGTACATACATACTGGGCCATATCCTGCATTACTTAGGTAGGGACTTCAGTTTGGCGGGGATAGAAACACGATGCGCCCACACATCGGTCCATGTTGTCAAGGACGGGCCGTCGCCGTCGCATCTAGAGACATCTGCCGAACACGCGAGGAGGGGTCTTCTCTGGCCGCGGATAAGCTTCAGGCCTTGCATTTTCAATCATGCACTGACTGGAATACACTTTCGAAACCTTGTGTTTTGAAATGGGCCTAATTACAGCGTCGGAACCATTCTTTCAGGACTCGCACTCCCCAATTGTATCTTCCGACGTCAACTTGATTAGCGACGGCAACGACGGAACGGACTCGCAAAGTAGCCGCGCTGCCCCGCAGACTGGCGCCCAGCATCCGAAGAGTCAGTCCGGACTCCAAACTGGAAAAGTCCGTACTGTGCACATGTACATGCTGGCCAATGTAGAAGCCCACCACAACCACAGGGTTTGTCAGAACAGTCTGTGAACTCTGTAGGGCAATCCGCGGTGAGAACTTCTCAGGTTGAAGGACACCGTTGCCGCAATTGTCTTCTTTATTACACATATCCTCCCTCGTCTTCTCTGCTCGGCAGTCTCACGCAATCTTCTGTCCGAATCCAACACTGCGTAGTCACAATACCACGCATCGCAACACTCGTCCTGAGCGCCACCAACGGTTAAAATGTCGAGCACCGATGCCAAACACGAGGCTCTGCAGCCAATTCACCCCTCCATGGCAGGCAAGCTCGACCCCGTGTTTGAGAAGCTGTACAACGACAACGTCGCCAATACCCCCTTGAGGCCAATTGATCTCGGCGTGCTACGGTCCAAGTATTCGGTGCTGTACAGCTACGGTACCGGTCCAGCCCCGGATGTGGGACGCATATACGATCGCCAAATTCCCATCGACGACGGGAGCGGCGCCAACCTCGATATTCGAGTCTACGAACCAGACACCAAAGGCCCGTGGCCTGTTCATATCGACTACCATGGCGGTGGCTGGGGCCTTGGAGACCTTGACACCGAGGCTCATATCTGCAAGCATATCTGCAAGAAGGCCAACGTCGTTGTCATCGACGTAGCCTACCGGCTTGTTCCAGAGCACCCCTTCCCGGTCGGTATTACTGACAGCTTTGCCGCCCTCAAGTATATCCACGCCCACGGTGCCCGAGATTTCAACATCATGCCCGAAAGCATCTCATTAGGAGGTGTCTCAGCAGGAGCTTTTATTGCTCTCGCGCTCGCTCACCTCGCACGAGACAATAAGCCCAATCCCATTCCCCTCAAGCTGGTGGCTGTGGGAACTCCCGTCATCGACGATCTTTCACAATATTCGTCCGCCGCCGAGTCTCCCTTCCCCTCCATGCAAGAGAATGAAATGGCACCCACGCTCAACTGGGGCCGTTTGGCTTGGTTCGATAAGCTCAAGTGGTCGTCTCTCCCCGCCGACCCCAAGGAGCATAAGGCTGCACGAGAAAAGATTGGGTGGTTTGCCAATCTTCTAAATGCTCCCAATTTCAAGGACCTAGCCAAAACCGTCATCTACACTGCAGGAGCAGATCCATTACGCGATGAGGGGGAGCAGTATGCACACAAATTGGTCGAGAATGGTGTTGAGGTCACTCTGAAACGGTTTCCCGGTGTGCCACACCCATTTATGCACATGGACAAGGATCTCTGGCAAGCCAGCCAGTTTATCGACAAGACGGCCAGAGAAATTCGACTGGCACTTCATGACTGAGAGAAGGGGACCTGCGCCAATGGCATGGTGGTTGGGGGCGAAAAAACAGGCACGGCCATTAGCAGCCGTAATATCTGTTTGACATGAGATCCTTGAGAGTTTGACCCAGCAACGGCCCAGCGGCCTGCAAAGTTTGCTGTAATACGATAGTTTATGAGTACTCCGTTTATAACCTTTGGCTTTCGTCACAGGTCATTACAATTTTTCATTGTTGTCATCGGCCATAGGTAAAAGGACTTGACTTGTCGTGCTGCGTATCGGAAGGCAAAGAGAGATAATTTTCCAAGAGACGAAACCACAATGCACTGTTAGTCCAGCTTCGACTCCCAACATTGAAGCTAAGAAATCGTCCGATCATTACTAAGGTTTTAGTACTAGTACATATGTACTTTATGTACTGTTCATTTGGTCTTCGTGGCCCCTCCGAGGGTCCAAGAGTCGCGCCCCACACGCTACAACAGCCACCCCGCTCCCGTCCTTCCAAGGTAACTACTAGGAAGCTGTCCAGGGTAGCGTGGAGAGGAGATATGTGCACATGTATGAGGGTGTTGCGTTCGAAGTTTTCCAGCACAGCCGGGAATTGAGTGGATAAAGCAGGATGAAACCTCGTCAGTAACAAATTAGTGACCATAAGGCGTGCTCCGACTGGCGCCGACGAGTGTTAGAGACGGCCTGGTTAAGAGCCTGGGAAGAAGCAGGGACGAGGATGGAAATGATACGCTTGTTCGTCGCATAACTAGTCCTCCTATGGAACCGATTCACCAACTAATTGCACACTAGTACGGAGTACTCCATAGCTATGCCCAACGTCCAACCAAGGTCCTAGCTGTGTCTCTGAATTTGCAGCGCCAAAAAAAAAAAGAACATGGCTGGCAGCGCCTCCTGCGCGACTGTTTTGACTGTGTTATTCCGTAGATTCGTCGCGCACCCGAAATTCGGCATCCTATTCTCACAGAGCGCACAGTATCGCTGCAAGGGACGCTGCTGCGTTCTCAGGCAAGGTTTCCACACTTGCTGCTTTAGGGAGGGCTTTTGGCTGCGGATATGATAGCGTAGGATGCCTCGGGGCTTAAAGCTGAATCATTGGGATGTCGTAGATTGTTGCGTGATGCGCATGCGCCATCCGCGATATGTACTATTGTACTCCGTATATCTGTTGGCCGATCAAGGCCAGTTTATCTCCAACGGAACGCAGACAGGCAAGCGGATTACTTGTCAGCCAAAGGTTGCAGACTAGACGTTCCCGGCACCCCTGAGCCGCTGTTGCTCGGACATGGCGTTGGCAGCTTCCAAAGGTTCATATTGATGAGCAGTTGCAAACCACTTTCCCAAGGAGGCAAAACGGGGTTTCCACTGGCGTAAATCCTTATGCCGAAGAACGAGGGCATGGCGTCGTTGGCCAAGGCACTGGAGTCCATCTTAGGGGGGTTTCCCGAGAGCCCGGGCTAACCCCTAGCAACACCATGCTTGTTGAGTGATTTTGATCCTGTCACGATATTAATAAACGAAACAGGTTGGCAAATTACACCATGAATCCTTCAATCAAAGCGGTACAGAGGACAGGCAAGCTTACTAACAATACTCAGTACATTGAAGTTGGTCGCCTGCTCCATTTTTAATGCCTGGATAGTTTGGTGATGTGTGCTAGCGCCTCCATCGCACCGGGTCAACAGTTGAATCGGCCAACCTACCAACCTACCATCTACTCCGCAACCAAGGACATGATTTGATCCGGTGGCGCTCTGTTGTCGAGCCACGATGGAGCGTGAAAAGTCCATGGCGGCAAGGGTGTCTCTCGCTCAAGGCCTGTCCTGGTCGCGCAGCCGCCAACCAGGACGACATCTCGGTGTAGCCTGGTTGGCAGTGGATGGAAGACTGCAATGTCAGCAGGGAGCATGGATCTTAAGATGAGTTCACTGCTCCGAACATGGAATACATACTCCGTGCAGAGTCTGGTACTCCTGATACAAGGCTGTAGGAACTTCCAAAAGCTGGCTCCAGTCCGATGTTGACGATTGGCCCGTGCATGTGTACTCCGTAACTGCAACTGGACCTTCCGTTGGGGAAGTATTGCGTTGGAAAGAGCAAGTCAGCACCAAGCCGGAGGTCATTGCCAGAACGGGATCACCCAGGTCAGTCGGGCCATACCGTTGGTCCCCGTAAGCAGTAGTTACTAGAAACCGATAGGAACAAGTCTGGTTGATCGACAATGTCTGGTATCAATTGATGTCACACATGAGCAGCAAGGTGGCGGCCAAAGCCACGGAATCCTGGTGACTGATGAGCATGCTTTGGAAGGAGCATGCTCGTCAAAACTGCCGTGAGTCTCGAAGTGTTTTTGGAGCTGGTTGCTCAAGTCCAGACACTAGACACCAGACACCAGAAGGAACTCGGCACCTCGGTCTCGTCGTCTCTTCGTCTCTTTCCCCGTTGCGCAACCCCCACTGTCAGGTTTGCAACGATATACGGAGTACACATTCCACATCTCTCAGCATCGCAGCCTGTGTACACGGGCTCATTGAGGGGTCACAGGCTGCTTCTAACTTTGAATAGTCCACAGTCCCCCCCGACCAGGCCAAAAGAGCTGGGCGAGGACTGAGAGGTAGCCCTCCCACCCCAAATCGGATTGGTGCCGCCACTATCACCCGCTGCTGGGATCCCTGGCCCCCTCCTTTATGTAGGTCTTCAGTCTTGGCCTCTTATCCGTCTCACAGCTCTCCGGACTCGTCGTCGCTCCACCCAAATCGACGACGCGGCTGTCCCCCCCATCATCAGATGTCCCACGACGCTAGGTAACATCTGAGATGTCTCTTCTCTGTGTCCCTCATTCAATGCTAATTGTACATCTCAGACTCGGTGTTTCCTCATCTAAGCACAGCCTTGGACGAACTCGCGCGCGTTTTCGGATCTCGGATTTCGCTACAAA